TGTTGGACCAGGTAGGCCACTGAAGGTTGGCTTTGTTAAAATAAACAAGCAGACATATATAAATAAATAACAAGGGTTGGCAGGGTTGCATTGATTTTTAACAGGACAATGTTACATGAACGTGAATAAATAAAGAAATTTGAAAACAGTTATCATCGTTATTTTTTGTAATGAATTGGATTGTGACTTTTACTGTCATGTAAAGAGAAAGAGAGAAAGAAGCTACGCTGACCTAAATCAACACAGAGAGCAAATTGTAATTAACTGTAAATTAATTAAATTATCTCAGCAGAATCCTGCTGCGTGATCATGGAAATAAATAAAAAGGACAGAATTTTTCAGCTCCTGTCTTCTCTGTTTTAAGTTGTTGAATTTAAATCCTTTAAAGTTAAATTGCCTCTGCAATTAAACCTTTAATAGATCCCACATTTCTTTGTCAACATGGTTGATTGTGCATGCTGGCTGACTGATCTGCCCTCTGCCAGTCTTCAGTGAAGCTTTGAATTACAGCTTTTCTGTTACAGCTGTGATAATCATGTGTGTGTTTCATCAAATAATTACCACATATAGCAATACAGTTCTGATGTTTTATGAAATATTTCACTATTTATGATTTTTAATCTAACTTACAGGGGAAAACAAACAACTCATCAAATTGTTAGGTGTTTTGTTTCCAACATGTGAGTCTAATCATTCTCTCACATCTCCTTATTTAATAAAGGGTGAAACCAGGTTTGTGTGTGGTGGGTCTGGTTGTAGTGCTGAGTGGACTTTTGCAGAGGTTTGTAAAATGGCTCTGCTGGACCCTCAAGAAAAGCAGTATTTCAGAAAAACCATGGAATTTAACATTGCCAGGCAGACACTTACTACTAAGTTGGTAAGTGTTTCATCAATATATTATATATACTGTGAATATAGACTTGATAGACATTTTGCTATATATCAAATATTGTCCCACCTCTGTCTCCATGTAGTGTCCTGGCTGCAGATCCACTGTGATGAGAGCGAATGAATCAGATTTGAATGTCCTCTGTAAAGTGTGCACAGCAGTAAAAGGACGGCCGTTTGAATTCTGCTGGCAGTGTTTGAGGGAATGGAAGGGTCCACGGCCTCGGAAAGACCGCTGTGGAAATGATGACTGCTGTAATGAGTCACTAGAAACACTAAAAAAATGCCCAGATATGACATTGTGTGATTCTGAAGTCCGTGTGTGTCCCTCGGTCCGTGCCTGTCCCACCTGTGGTTTGATGTTGGAGCACAGCACGATCGCTTGCCCATCAGTTGATTGCCCTCGATGTAATTTGACATTTTGTTTTGTATGTCTGAAGCACTCTAGTACATGTTGGAGGATCAGGTGCACTCCTGCCCCCAGACAGACCTCTATACCTGTTTGGAAGAAGAAATAATTGGAAATACACAAGGCTGATATGTTTCACTTTCTTTATATTGAGAGCATCTTTTCTAAATGTAAATGTCACTATGCTGTGTTTTAAATTCTCTGCTTTAATAACATCACTTGATGAATAAAAATTGTGTTTTATTAGTGAGAATTTTAATATCAAATGTGTTCTTTACAGCTCTCATGTCTAAAGTCCAATGATAAATCTGCATAAATCTAATGTTATTAATTAAAAAAACTTTAGAATAAGGTTAAACATTCTGTGTGTGCGTCTAATCATTCTCTCACCTCTCCTTATTTAACAAAGGGTGAAAGCAGGTTTGTGTGTGGTGGGTCTGGTTGTGGTGCTGAGTGGACTTTTGCAGAGGTTTGTAAAATGGTTCTTCTGGACCCTCAACAAAGGGAGTACTTTCAAAAAACAATGGAATTCAACGTTGCCAGGCAGACAATTGCTACTAAGTTGGTAAGAGTTTCATTTTAATATTATGTTTACTGCAAATGTAGAATTGTAATTAGACATTTCATCAGGTATTAAATGTCTCACATCTGTCTCCATGTAGTGTCCTGGATGTGGATCTTCTGTGCCGAGAGAGAATGGATCAGATTTGAATGTCCTCTGTAAAGTGTGCACAGCAGTAAAAGGACGGCCGTTTGAATTCTGCTGGCAGTGTTTGAGGGAGTGGAAGGGTGCGCGGCCTCGGAAAGACTGCTGTGAAAATGATGGCTGCTGCAACCCATCACTAGACACATTAGAAAAATGCCCAGATATGACATTAAATTCATATCATGGTGTCTGTGTGTGTCCCTCGGTCCGTGCCTGTCCCACTTGTGGGTTATTGTTGGAGCACAGCAAGAGACTTTGTCAATTTGTTGTTTGCCCTCGATGCAATTTGAGCTTTTGCTTTGTGTGTCTGAAGGAGCCTGTTGAATGTACAAAAACCGGGTGCATTCTTGCCCCCAGACAGACCTCTATACCTGTTTGGCACAAGAAATAATGGGAAAGAAACTTAAACACTGTGTGTAAGCACATGCTGTCCTCTGGTTAGTTACATATATAACCTGTGTGATCTACTTAACACACATTTTTGTTTGTATTCCTAAGTACTTCCTAAGTACGTGAGGACTGCTCTTGTTTCCTCTAAACTGTTCTGAGCAAATTTCTCTTTTAATAAAACCTTGCTATTTTTAATAAAAGTTAATATAGAAATGTAAATAAAAAAGCATCTCTGGGACGAAAACACTGCAAAACCATTTTAAATCCTGTGTATTTTTCTTTCTTTCTGCCATTTTATTCCTTAGGTCCTGTAAGTGTAACACTGTCATGTAAAATGTGATCCTTTATGGTACATAATTTTTTTTTAATGGTACAAATGAAATGAAAATACAGTAACTGAGTTAAAATGCTGATATTTTCATTATTGTTAGGTTACTCCTACAGTGTCAGCAGGAGAAGGCGTCATCACTTTGTGCTGTTTGAGTAGGGGAATGGAGGAAAACCTGTTTTTATTCTGTTTTTTATTTGTACCCCAAAAATCTGATAATAGACAACATAAACGTTTTTAACTCTTAATCTGAGTAAAGTTTAGCTGTTTGAAGGTTCAATTTCTAGTTTCAGTGTAATTCCAGGGGATCAGTATATTTTACTCTATTGAAATTATTTAAAAACATTTCACAGAAGATCTTCTATTTCCTCAAATCCAAGTTCTGATATGTGATATTTCAAACTGCATCCAGAGCAAAGGAACAGAAAGGTGTCTTGCCCTTTTCCCAGACATAATGCTTTATCAGGCAAGGCAAAACGTCCATGCTTTCACAGCCACACTGCTCTACTCATTTAGTGTTTGTCCATGTCTGCTTCAACCTCTCCCTAAAATCGGTTGTGTTCCTCTTTGCACCAGGTTTTGCTAATCTTGATCTTTGGAAAATAGCCACTTAAATTTCTAGTTTCAGTGTGATTCAAGGGTATTTTTTACTCTGTTTAAATTATTTTGAAACATTGTTAACTTCTTCACATGTAAATCACAGCATTAATTGCACCGAGGTAAACATTTTAAAGAAGAACTTCTATTTCCCCAAATCCAGCTTATGATATATGCACACCTAAGAAAAGCAGGTCTGAGACTGTGAGATAAGGGTGAGCTCTCAGCCACTGCCTTCAGCAACTGATCGTGGTGCACAGGTAGTGTGCGGGCAGCTGCTGAGATGGTGCCTGCATTGCTATGGTTTCCGGCAGAACAAAAGTTATAGAAAATACACATTAAGTTTTACACATGGAACCCAAGATGATGTGTAAACCAAAAAGTTCAACTAAAAGTAAAACAAGTAAACAATGCTCATCATAATGTCTCATAGCTGAGTATAGAAGTAAATCTTGTTGTACAACATAATTCAATTAAGATGAACACTGGAAACCACCCAACAACTAAAAACTGCCCACATCAGTGTTTGTTATGTAACCAGAACAATGTTTCATTTGGTTTATTTGTTTCTTTACATCCTGGTTGTTGTGCCAAATGGTTGCTGTGAGTGGATTCAAAAGTCCTGTTGTACAAACATTCAGATTAAATAATTTTAAGATCCAGTTTGATGCACATTCTGAACATTGCAGTGGCACAATATCACAATAATCCCCCAAACTCTTCAAATAAAATAATAAATCCAGGTCATAACACTAAAACACAGCACCACTGGTCAGATCAACTTTGACTACACCATGCAAGTTTACAAAAGATAAATGGATAAACCCCATTAATCATTACATAAATAAATAAACCTGGACTCTCAGCAGCACTAACACTTTTATTACATAAAGTAAAATCATATAAGTGCTGATCTGCAGTCGTATGACTTCTTGTAACTGCTGGAGAGAAACTGAAAGTAGCAAAAACAAAATAAACAAAACGATCTTGGGGACGTTCTCTGGTGTGTGCAGATGTCAGTGTCTGTTTACTGCTCAAAACTGAGAAGGATAACAGGTGGGATCCAAATGAACAGAGTGTGGATAATTCTGGGAAAACTGAACCTTTAAATTTGTCTTAGGATAATGTTGTTTCACTATGAAATCAATAAAAGTTTGATTTCTACAGTTTGTTGGTTGCAGGGCAAGATCTTCTAAATTCATTTTTTCTTTCTCAGTGTTTGTGCAGGTAATGAACGGCCAAACGTGGCTTTACTGCGATGTGAGTCATGAACCGATTACACAGTTTGATCAGTTAAAGAATTTGCAGTATTTTTAAGATCCTTCCACTCATTTTCACTTCACTTCATGGACTGTGAGGTCTCAAAAGCTTCAATTTTCAAAACGAGCTTTTTCATATCTCAGTTATTTTTAGGTATTTGAGCTGAGCATGAAGGAGATGGACTGAGAATCAGCACCTCCGAGTGTGAGACCACAGTTCTCAGCTGGAAATGGGTGGAGTGCACATCAGCACCACTGGTCTGGATTGAGCTGCTGCCCTGAGTGGAAGATTTCAAGTATCTCAAGGACTTGTTCATTAATGATGGGGGAGTGGAACGAGAGATTGACAGGCACTTCGGTGCTTTCTGGTTTCTTTATTTATTTTGCAATAATAAACACAGAAAACCATTTTGTAGGCCTGGAATGAAGGCTATCAAATAAGCATGGCAGGGGGTTGTAGAGTGCCAGAAGTTTTAAGCAGTTTTGCTATCATTTTCTCATTTTCTCTTCAGACATTTAGAACAAGTAAAATAACTTATTGTTACATGGTATCGTCCAAAAGCTAGGTAGCATTACTGATAGGGTCGTCTAGGGCACAACACCATCCCTGGAACAATCAGAGACAATTCTGCTACAATGGCAAAAGCAAGACGCACCAGAGCTCTGTGTGTAATCTCGTGCAGGAGAGAGAGGACGAGACGAGCGCTGCTCCTGCCGCTTGAACCCCAGTCACTCTCATTTAGCACCCCCGGTGCACTGCTCTTTATTGTGGTACATGAATATGCATAGGTTCATTAACATATGACATCTTACACAAGCATACATGTGAACAAAGAGTACCTGCCTCTGTGTATGTGTAGGTACCGTGTGTCAAAATATGACCCTGCGAATGACTCCCCAAAGCTAGGGTTCCGGTGCTAGGAACACAGCGGACCACCTAAACAAAAGGCTCATATACTTAAACAGATACAGAGTAGGTGTCCTCCCATAGTATAAATCAGAAAGAGAAGGTACGACCTCTCTCATGACCTAAGAATGTGTGTCCATGCCAGAATGCAGTGCTTGCAGACTACTAAGGATCAGACCTTCTATCAATATAAAATTGATTATATACCTCTAAGCATATATGAGTATGTGTTTCTAAGCACAAATGACAATCCAACAATATAAACCTAAATTACATGCCCAGCATATCTTCCAATTCGAGTTATGTGCAACCAATGTTGCATCTTCTTTTGCTGACTATTAAAGACTAGTATGTGTGTAAATATAAAACACAGCATTTATCGCCAAATTTGATGCATACATGTGAACAAGTTAGCAACACCTCATTTGATGTAAACCTTTGGCCTATTTTCTTCCTGCCTGCTTATTGATTGGAGCTCATATAGATAAATTATCATATAAAATGTGATCCTTCATAATACTTTATCAAAAAATGCGGTCCAAATGTGCCAACGTTGATTTAGAAGTATTTACAGGAAGAGAAAATCTAGTACAAATTTTTCTCAAAATTGAAGTTGAAAACTGGAAGCCTTTATATTTAATTTTCTCTATGACTGTCTGACTCCTCTGAGACAGTCTTCTCTTTTATTAACGTTAAAAAATGCAAACCAGGAGAAAG